TTTGCTTCTTCAACGCTGATCTTGGCAGCTTCCAAATGCCTCTGAGGACGTTCAATTTCCCTAAAGATGTCCTCATTAGAGAATTCGTCAAAAATCTCAGTCAATTTTGGAGTATAATTACGAATATCTTTCTCTGTTGCCACAACCAGAGAGTTTGGCTGAATAACAGCAAACATTAAAAGGATTTTTTCAATTGCCTGGGAACGAATTTCCAACTCGTGATGAAAGCGATCAAGGCACTCAAACATAGCCCTTTTCATTTCCTCTGGCAATGTGAGACCAGAGTCTTTTGCCTTCTCTCCTGGCATTGTTTTCAGGAGTTTTACTCTCCCTCTTCTTTCCATAGAAATTTCCATTTTTTTTTACACATAGTAGTTGCATTACAAATGGCCTTCTCCACAATTTCACTGCGCTGATCTGCTAGAAACGCTTTCAAACCTCGTAGTTTCACAATGCACTTTTCAAGAGTGAGTCCCACTGTTTGCAAATATTTCTGTGTGATATTAACTTCTTCTAGAACTTCACACCAGAAAGAAAGGTAACACAAAAAAGAAAAATCACATACGGCATACAGCAACATCTGAGCTAATCCTCATGTGTCCACATTTTCTTTGGGATTACACAATTTTTCAAGGGCTGAAGTCAGTTTTTCAAAATTTGCCCTCACTGGCTTCACAGCATTATAATGAGCGCTCCAACTTGTTTGGGAAAGTCTTTTCACTGTCACACCTAAATTCTCCATCAGCAATTCCCCACGATGTGTAGAAACCGAAAAAAAGGAATACACTCTCTCCAATGTTCCAAAAAAGGTCACACAGGAAGCAACACTTCCAAATGAGTGCACCCCACATAGGGTCAGGGAATGGTTTGCACATGGCATAAACAAAGCCTTGGGATTAATCTATTTTATTTTTGCCTGAACACCACCATGAATCCCTACCATAGTTGCAGCATTATCATATCCTTGACCACGGCAAAGGCTTATGTCTAGTCCATCTTCCTCCAGATGTTGCAGGATATTTTCTGTAAGCTCAGCAGCAGTCTTTTCAGCAACAGGAAAGAAGCCCAAGAATGATTCCTTTACTTCAACATTGCCCCCTTCAATATAAACATATCTGATCACTTCACACATCTGATCAGTGTGGGACACAGCAGGGGTGCTGTCAAAAAGAATCCCAAAGTACTTTGCTTTCTTGATATCAGCCACTATTTTGTCTTTCACATGATTTCCCAAAAGACAAATTAATTCGTTCTGCATTTTTGGAGAGAAATAGGAAGTCATTCTCTTTCCAGATGCAACAGCATGTTTCATCCTCATGAAATTTTCCTTTAAAATAGGATCATAATTTGAGAGCAATTCTACCAATTCGAGGAAGTTGCCTTTGCGGATGACATGGTCTCTCTATGACCACGAAAGGGAAGATTCTGGTGAGCCAGAAACAAAGTTACATCCAAAAGGCGATGCAAAATATCCCTCCATTTCCTTTTCTCTCTGTCCACTGTTGTTTGATGGACATGATCAATGCATTTTTGTAGCTTCAATCCTGCTCTCAAGGTCTTCCATTTCTCCAAGCATGTAAGATGCTGCTCAGAAGCCTCATGATCAGACACCTTTGAGTTCAGCTTCCACCACAATTGAAACCCAGTAACAAAACTGGATGCCCCTGTTACTTTGTCATCAACAGCAAAAAGTCTGCAGCAAAAACAAAATAAACTTTGTTTTGATGGAGAGTACACCATCCATGTTCTAAGAATCTTTTCACTATTAGGCAGAGCCTTATAGAACCATGCAATGGTCAGCTGTCGAGTCTTCCCTTTTGATTTCTCTCCTTGCCTTTCAACAGGACTGAATGGCCCATCTCTATTTTGGAAAGGTTCACTTCCCCTCTTAATAAGGTCCACTCTTAAAACATCTGGAACTGGAACTGGCCAAGCAGCAATATCAGAATAAACTGACATTTGAACAGTCTCCTCTTCTTCTTCATCATCATCATCAGAGTCTTGCTGATGCAGGCTTCTGCTGGCATCTCCTTCGTCTACATCACTTTCACCGCTTGAAGATAAAATGATCTTCTCCATTTCTTGCGCTTTCACATATGAAGCTTCTTGAGAAGATACTTCAGGCATTTCACCTCTGGATTCAACAGGCTGAATGTCTTCAGCACTTTCTCCTACTGCAATAGATGTTGAAAGTGCAACATATTTTAAAACTGATCCAGACATCGCCTCAGCTGACTTTTCTCTTGCCTTCTTAATTTTTCGTTGCTGAGACCCGCTTGGTCGATTTCGCTTCATATTGGTGTTTTCTGCAGAAAAATCCTAAATTTATTTTGGCTCTAGGGTTCGCGATGTCTGTCTTATATTTCCCATCTTGGCATACCATTTGTAAAAGTAGACAACCCAGGGTATTTAAAAGGACACTATAGTCACCCAGACCACTTCAGCTCAATGAAGTGGTCTGGGTGCCAGGTCCCCCAGGTTTTAACCCTTGAGATGTAAACATAGCAGTTTTAATATATTTGTATTATATTAATGAATGTGCGTATGTATTATAAGGATTATTTTATAAAGTTGTGGTTACAAACATGAAGATAATACACATTCATTATATTATATATATATATATATATATATATATATATATATATATATATATATATATATAAGAGGATCGACCGATTATCGGATTTACCGATATTTTCGGCAATATCGGTATCAACCAATAGAGATACCGATATTGCCGATAATACAGACCAGGACTGCCGGGCTCATTACAAGCCCGGCAGTCCTGGGTGGGCCGGCAGCAAGCTGTTACTTACCTTTCCAGCAGCTCCTGCAGCTCCCCAGTGTAAATCCTGCGAGACCCGTGGCAACGCTCTGCGCGGCACGCAGCCCGCAAGATTTAGACAGGGAGCTGCAGGAGCTGCTGGAAAGGTAAGTAAGCTCTTGCTGCTGGCCCCCACTGCACATCCATGCCACCTGACCACCAGTGTCATAGCCCCCCTCCCTGGCCAGGTAACAATCAGGGAGGTGGGACAAAAAATTTAAATAAAACATATAAACATTAAAAATGTAAATAAAAAATGCCCACCCTCTCCCCCCATTTTTACACAAATCACATCCCTTCAGGAACACACACACTCTGTATTATATACACACACTGCACACTCTGTATATAATGCAGAGTGTGTAGTGTGTGTATAAAATGTAGTGTGTGTGTGTAGTGTGTGTATATAATGCACACACTACACATGCTGCATTATATACACACACACTATATTATATACACACACTACACACTGTATTTATTATATACACACACTATACAAACACACACACACTCTGCATTCATTATATACACACACTATACAAACACACTGCATTCACTATACACACACTGCATTCACTATAGACACATTACACACACTGCGTTTGCATTACACCGACTACAGGCTGCACTCACTTTACGCACACTACACACACTGTGTTCACTTTACACACCACACACTACATCACTATACACACTACACAAACACAAACACTCTGCATTCATTATATACACACTACACAGTCACTGCATTAACTACACACACTACA